ATACCAGGTCCTTGTTGTCTAGTCATGTATGTAATAAATATGTAGAAAATTTAGTTTGAAGTCCTTGACAAGCATAAAAGTAATGAACACGATGGTTGGAGGGCGGAACAGTTTCTGATGACGTCATTGGACGCCATTGGTGAATCAATCTTCTGAGCACACTGGACCCTGGGATCACGGCTTGTCGCCCTACCACCAATCACAGTCAACAACGCCGAAGTAGCTCCGCCCTCCAGCCATCGTGTACGACGGCTTTAAGGAAGAGGATTACCGTACGGCAACGGATGTTGGATCAGAAAAAAGGCGTTGAAAAGTCGATTTATCGCATATTACGAGTATCATAGAAGTTTAAGCATAATTAAATATCTATGCATCACAATAGTAGACTGGAAAGACAATGCACAATGAGGAGTGACTTGCTCTACCCGACGTAATACTGCACACAAAACAATGCTGACAATCAGGTTTCTATGAGAAACGCCTCTTAAAGTAACGAATAAACTCGTTATTTATACATGGATGAGTAAAAATGAATATACAGTCAATACAAGGTGGCGAGGTCTACTATCAGAACTCCTCCAGTGGTGAGATCCCTGCAGCGTTCACACCACCCAGCTACGTTTCCGCGCACAATGAACGCCGTTCGGAAGCGAGTTTGTCACTCGAAGTGACTCCATGGTCTGAGCTGAAGGGCCACCGAAAAGAGCCGGACCAAGGTACTTGAAGAGATCGGTGGCTTGCTCGGGAGAGTAAGACGAAGCGGTGGCCGATGTTATTGGAGCAGCTGTAGAGGCGCGGGCATTCTCGGCCGGTTGTTCCACCTACAACTTTCAGCAATAGAGTCATGTGAAGCCTATTATACTGGGCATATACCGTACCTCTCTGAAGAAGTCATCGAGCCCATCGCGGAGATCAGGCAGGGTTCCTTTGAGTGTCAAAGGCAGGATGCAGTTGAAATCCTCCATTGCCATCGCAGACTCATTGGATCCTCCCGGTCCGGAGAAAAATGGTTGAGCAAAGAGGGCTGAGGTAAGCGACGCGGATGACTCCGGCGACGAGCTTTCCGGTGTGAACATCGAAATGTGTGGCATGGTTTTCATCGGGATTTCGACTTTGATCTATAAATTTCGAACATCAGTTAAAATCTCAGCTGGAGCCGATATAGGGCAACGTACTTGGGCGCAATTGCCATAAGCTGGAATCATCGTCATTTGAGTGAACGGCTCTTGCTTGATGAACGGAACGAGTTGATCAATTGATTGAGGAAAGGACGACTCGGCAGGAAAAGGTGATATAGGCGAAAGTGAGCGATCCTGAAAATTGTGAGCCTTATAGTAAATGAGAAATTTGAAGGTGGGGCAATGCTGGAGTTCTTCCTAAGTGCGATGGCGCAGTGGATCAAATTCTGGGTCGATTCTCACTGAGTCAACCAATCTTTTCACATCCCTAGGCCGGTTCTTCAGTAACGAAGTCGTCTGGGAGCTTCAAAAGACAGACTTGCTCACCTGACCTTGACTTGATCTGAACGACCCGGTCGTATTTGAATGCTGTAAGTTTTTGAATAGGAGACAATCGCGGTGCATCACAAAACTACCTCATCAAGAATTTAGTCATTACAGCAGTTTGCAGAAA